TTGGCAGCTGCCAGGATTGCTATCTGTGGCTATGATTATATGCTATCAACCATTTGGATGAAAATGGAAAGTCGGCCTACTCAAAGCTAACAGCTGGGCATTTGGAGACATCAGGATAACTCATTGAAGATTTTGGTTTTAAACATGGAGATACCTCCGGGATGAAATACAGCAGTTGCACAGATCTGTGTGTGTGATCTGACCACCTAGAATCTTTTCACGTTGTGTGAATATTTCCAACATCCTGGCATGTGAAGACACCCCCCCCCCAACTTGTTCCCAACCTTGTCTCCTACGATTCTCCTTTCACATATATTTCAGCCAGACTGGACAACCTGCTGTCCCTTGAACACTAAACACATTTTCCTATCTTAATGCCTGGCTCATGTAATTCCCAAGTCCTAGAATACCTTCCCTTAACTTATCCCTTCCCAACCCCTCCCCCCCAACAGTTTACCTATTTATCCTTCAAGGCCTAGTTCAAATACCACTGTTGTTTTTTTTTTAAATGAGGCCACTTGATTTCCTAAGCTGGAGATGATCTCTTTCTCATCTGACTTCATAATATTTTATAGTCTTCCCATTCACTTACATTCTAATTAGCATTACACTGATCTGTGTGCATGTCTTCTTTCTGCCGCTTGACTGCAATCTCCCTGTTAGAGACCCTGTCTTATTTATCTTTGTATGTCCCCTACCCCAGCACCCAGCCCATACGTCTAACACAGGTATTTAGAAACATCTGCTGAATGAATGATAAACATGACCTGTTGTTTCTGGTTGTTCGGCCTCTTGGCCTCTGGGCTGCACTGGCTTTGTGTCATCTGGCTTTTGTGGTCCATACCTAGACGGTTCCGCAGTTACAAAAGCTTTCCAGGGTATACCAGAGGCTGGGGGGAGGGGTTGTGTGTCAAGCAGTCTTCTGCTCTGCTTGTAAACTGTAAGTAAGATGTGCATTCCATTTCTCTAAGACTTCACAGCCTTCCTTAGAAACTCATTCCATCTAATTACCTTTACAGTCAAAAAGTTCTAACTGATGTCTAACCTTATTTCATCAGGTGTCTTTCGTACAAATGCTTGACCAATGTTAATTCTCACACCATTCCTTGGAAACTTCTAAACGTTATCAGTTCTATTGGTGGTGGTGGTGAGAAGAGTTGATTTCAACACCTGACAAGATTTCTCCAAGGTCACACAGTGACTCAGGGGACAGAAGCCTTAGACTCCTGGTTCCATGGTCTAATCCTATGACTACCCTTCTGTATTCCTGACATTTGATCCTCATACCTCATTTGAAGACATTTAAAAAAAAATCAATGTGTTTTGTGCCAGCTCCTGAATTCACCCTAGCCATCTCTTTAATAGCAGCAGGCCAGGAGCAAGGGATTGGCCATTTACCCACAAGATCATCTCAATTTATGGCAATGGAGCTATAAGGGACCTTAGAGACCAATTCCCTAAATTTACAAAGGAGGAAACTGATGCAAAGAGAGTAAAGTGACTTGCCCAAGGTCACAGAGGTAGTAAGGGGCAGAGGCAGGATTCAAACCCAGGTTCTTTGGTTGAGAAACCAGCACTTTCTACTGGATCAAGCTGCCTGCACTGGGCCTACTGAGAGCAAAAAGGGGTGCCTCACTCAAGGTCAGAGACAGTTGTAACCAAGCTATCTGTCTAGCGAAATGTACTTCCTCTGAGGCCTCTATTGCCTAGAGATTCCTCAGGGTACCTGTGTAGGGCTTGAGGCTTTTTGTCAAGATTTCTTTCCTAATCATTACAGGGCAGTCATTGAAATTCCTTCCTCTTTCCCTGAAGGGATGACTATAAAAGAAATGCACTTCAAGTCCAGGGAAATCACCACATCCCTCCAAAAATGGATGGGTTCAGTGCAGGTCACCCATTTACACTTTTTTGCAATTCACCTGTGCACTGTGGCGTGAAGGCCTGACGTTCCCCAGCCCAGTCGACACTCACTTACTCAGTGCTGGCCTGATTTAGCATGTCAGGCAGTGCCTCCTTGCTATATTCCTTTGGTGAGGAGTCCCCAGAGCTGAGAGAAGAGGCTCCAATCAGCCTGTGCTGCTTCACAAATTCTTGGAGGCGGCACCTCTTATTTGGAGCAGAGATTCCCCCCTTAGCAACATCCTAATTGCCATGGCACTTCTGGCCCAGTTTGGGTTCCCTCCTCAACCTCTGCATTGCTCCACCCACTATGGACCTACGCAGCCCAGGCAAAGGGAGGGCAGATCAGAGAAAATCTTCAGAGACTTTGATGCCTTGAACCTGCCTGGTTACTAGGAGCTGCAGCCCAGCTGGAGGCAAACTACAATCTTTCTATTTGACTCTGCCATTGTTTGGGCTCTCAGTTTTTCCGTGGGTGAATGGGAGAGAGTAAAGTCTTACAAGTGGCCAAGTCTATCCCTGGAAAAATGCTTCTTTCTCTTCCTTTGTATGCTTTCCAGCTCTTTCCATCTAGACATAACGTTAAAAAAAAATCATTCTCCTATCATCCAGGAACCGCAAGCCAGTAGAAATGAATTTTACCTACATCTACCTCCTCAAACTTAACTGATGCCAGGGCCCTGGGAAGAGAGCCCCAGCATAAATGTTACCCAAGTGACCAAGGTGATCTATTGTGCAGCTGTCCACAGCTGCCTCCTCTCCTAAACATTCTAAGCCTAAGCAATCTGTTTTTGGTTCCTGATTCTAAGAGCACTGTTCTGCCTGTGGTGAACCTCCTTTCCCTTTTCTTCCATATGTGAAAATGGACAATGTTGAGAAATGACCCTCATTTCAGATTTTTTAAAGAAGACATTGATTTGCCTAGCAACAGTGCCAGGCACCCCCCAGAGGTGCTCATGAAGCACAAGGCCTTGTGTTTCAAAGTGCAGGGTACAGGTGAGACTGCATTCAGAGGGTGATGGGTGCCAGGCAGTATATCAGGAAGGAGAGTAGGAGATAAGAGAATGTAAGGGTCTAAGTGTCCCATTACTTCTCTCTCACCTTCTGACCTAGCTTCGTAACTCTATACAGTTGCTATAGCAAGCAGAGCTTGCCAAAGTGCCAGGCCTCACCCAAGAATGGCCTAGCTCTGACCAAGGACATGCCTCTGGTTTTGCTACAGAGATGCAGCTAGCTACAGGGAAGAGGGTAAGGTAACTCCCTGGCACATAGACAAAAGTCTAGGGGAAGAAGAGGGGCGAGAATGCTGGTCACCAAGACTGAAACTTTTGAGAAGGCTCTATCACCATTTAGAATCGACTGCATTATCAATCCAACTTTTCCACCTCAAACCGCTTCCCCTTTCCCTGGTTCCTCTGCATCCTTTAAATATTAATTGGGGAGCATATGTGCCAAGGTGTTACGGGAAATAAAGGGAAACAAACCAGATCTTTGGATGGGTTTAGACATTCCACCTTGAAGACAGATCTTAATTTTGCTTAGTACTGCAAAGCACACAGGAGGCAATCAGCCTTTCCCAGGGATCTATCTAGTCTGGCTAAAACTGCTACTTAAGATAGCATGGAGGCAGGGGTCAGGCTGCTTTGACAGAACCATGGGGAAAGGAGCAGGTCTGCACTTAGAAAAGGACAGGAAGAGTCCTGGGAAATGTTTACTTTCAATACCAGACTCCCCCAGCCTCAAACATAGCACAACCACACAGCCACACCCAAGAGTGCACACACACACACACACACACACACACACACAAGACCATTTATGTCTAATTTTGGAAACCCTTCAAGGGTTAAGGAAAATGGTTTCCTCTAACCCAAATAGGATAGCTCAACCCTGCCAGGATTGTACCAAAAAGGAGAGTATGAGAGACCAGTGGCAAACCCAATTCAAGGCCACTGCCTTCCACTTTCCAACAGGCAGTCTCTAGAAAGACCCAGCTTTTTCCTCCACTAGTGATTTTAAATCCTTTTCCTAAGTTAAAAAGAGAATGGGGGAGGTAGGAAGGAAGGAAGAAATTGATGTTGACCACAATCATCAAAGTCAACTGGTTTTCATCATCATCATCATCATCATCACCATCATCACTACCTTTCATCCTCCCACCTCCCTGTAGTAGTGGTTGCACCTAGTGTACAGATTTGATGCCCTGAACTCCAAAGATAGGAGGTAGATTTCTACTTGGAGGTTAGTGGGAGAGAATGGAACACATATGGTGCAAGTCCAGACCTGATCCCTGTGAGGTCTCCCTCACCTGACACAGAGAAGTAAGAAGAATAGAGAAGAGCTAAGCAAAAGTGGTCTTTGGGGAATCTGCTTGCCTCCTAGAGTATAGATATTGGTAGCAGCCTGCCCTTGTAGAGGAAAGGAATACAACTTTACGGAAGGGTATTTCACTTACTAGCTTCCAACTCGAGGGTTATCACCCTAGATTTTTAATAGGATTTTCATTGGTGAGGGAGGGGACAGGCTTGCAGCAGTTAATATAGGAAAGTGTCAATGTTCCTGGGAAATTCTGCAGATCCATGAATGGCATGCCCTGGCCCTCTGCCTTCCCCTAAAAGAGCCTTGCAAATGAAGTAAACAGAGCATGCTGTATGAGTGACCCCGGACCCTTTCCTGTTTTCTTCATGCATTTGGACCTCGGTCCTCTGATTAGCAGCAGCCGTATCTCCCTTTTGGTCTGCCCCAGTTATCTGGGGGAGGGGAATGTAGAAAAGAGTAAAACTGACCGAGTTTTAATAATAATAAAATAATAATAAGTCATACTTCTCCTCCAAAGCCCTATTCTTGGTCCCCCCCCCCAAGAGGTGGTCATATCGTGGGGTGGTTTCAAAACCTGGACACACGGTTAACGATCAAGGTTAAGGATCAAAAGACGAACTGGAAAAGTGGGAGGGCTTGGGGTAGATCGGGGTGGCGGTGGAAGAGGATGGCTAATGATCAAAAGATTAACTGGAAAGCATGAGGGCATTGGGGCGGATGGCCTCGGGTAAATAAAGGGGAAGGAGAGGTTAGGAGAGCACGGGAGAGAAGCTGCATTTTACCTGCCAGGCTGTTGTAACAGTCGATCTCTACGGCTTCCACCGTCTTGCTCTGCTCCTCAGTTAAGTGGCCCAGCTTGGCCCCGTGGGCGGTGGACGGTGCCTGGCTGTCCTTGTCCCGCTCCTCCAGGGCTGGCAGCAGCCCCTTGAGCTCCAGAAGCGCCCGGTGATATTTACCGATGGCTTCGCGGAATTTCTTGTCCTTGTAGCACTGCGCTCCTTGGTTCTTGAAATCCTGGGCTCTCTGGAGGAGCTCCCCGAGATCCGCCGCCGCCCCAGCCTGGCCCCGAGGGGCGCTCCCAGTACCAGAGCCGCCACCGCCACCGCCGCCGCCTGCGCTGCCCAGGGCACAGGACTTCAGGGGCTGCTGCTGCTGCCCATCCCCTGCCAGGCGGTGGCTGGCACTCAGCTTCGCTCCGCCCGAGCTGTTCCTCTCCATGCCCCAGTCTCTGCAGCTACCGTGCTCAGGCTCGCCAGCTCACTGCGATCTTGCCAAGCCCTCCGGGATTCAGAAGCCCCAGGAGCGAGTGTCAGGGCGCCCAGTCTTTCTAGAAGCCGTGACCCTTCTTGGCTCTCTTTTGCTCCTTACTCCCATTCTTCTCTCCCGCGGTCAGAGTCTGGCTCCTTTTTCCTCGCCTTCCTCCTCCTCCTCCTCCGCCCTCCTCCTCTACTCTCCCCTCCCCGCCCCCAGATCCCCCTGCCCCTCCCCCTTTCCTCCACCCCTCCAGCAACCTGCGGGGCTGTGGTCGGCCTCCGCTGCCTTTATAGCTGTGGTGCTGGGGATCGCGGGTGTGATTAGAAGGATGATAATTATTGTTGACCCGGAAGGAGCTTGCACACCGTTTGGAGGGAAGAAAAAATGACAAAGAGAGCCGAACTCTCTCCCATTCAATCCAACCTTCAAAGCAAGGTCTGGAAAAGAGGGAAGAAAGGAGTGGGAGGGGGAAGAGGAGGAGGAGGAGGAGGATGGAAAAAAAATAAAAACAAAACACGGGGGAGGGGAAGATGGCAACGCAATGTCTACGTGTGCACACGGTGAATCATTTTTTTTTTTAAGGTAGTTGAGGCTAGGGTGGGTGGGGATGAAGGCAACAGAAGCAAGATCCATCACCTTGCCCTTTGCAGTATTTTTAAAGGGGAAGTTTCCCGTTTAGGGGTTCCGAGTTGTGGCTAGGGTGTGAGTTTGCGTAGGTCTCTACGAAGTGGCTACCCAAGTGAGCATGAATCGGGCCCAGGAGCCTCTGGGTGCCCCCACTTCCTTTTGTGGGCAACTCTCTCTAGAGATTTCCTCAGAGTCCTTGACTGTTAATGTTGCTTATCAAAGCTTCTGCTTTTGAAGGTGTTTTGCTTTCCCACCTCCACAGACGCTGTCCAGGATTGTATCCATATCAGGGAGTATCCCCCTTCACACACACACACAGTCCTTAGTCTCTTGGGAAAGCTTTAAATTAATTAGGATGCTCCCTGATATGGATGTAACAACCACAATAATAACAGCCATCATTTATACAGAGGTTCAGACTTTTCAAAGGGCTTTCATATTTATTGCCCTTTTTGATCTCATAACAACTCTGGGTAGGACTAAAGGGCAGACATGATTATAGGCAGAGAGGAAATGGGGGCGCAGGCGAGTTCAGCAGCAGAGCACATAGTAGGCATCATAAATAATCTGCTAATTGCTCAAGGTCATATAGTTAAGGTATGCCAGGGCAGCCCTAGAATGAAGGCTGCAGGTGGAAACTGGCTTTCTTTTTTTTCATCAGAGGAAGCTCTAATGTTAGCAGTATTATTAACACCATTATGTTAATTGTTAATAGTAATAGTAATAACAGCCTACATTTATATAGCACTTTCTCCTACTAAAAATCCTATTCCAGTGCCTCATCATGGCTTGGAGGTGAACCTGGGTTCTCAAAGGCTATTTGAGCACAGGCTTTGGCAAATCCAACTGAACCAGAAAGGCTTCAATTATTGGCAGTGATGGATTGGATGTCTTTTGTCTCAGTACCAGGAGCCCAGCTAAGTTTGGAGAGATTCATTACCAGGTTGGCTGCAAAGCAATGAAATTTTCAATCACAATAGTGCCAGAAGACCTCTTAGGTCATGGCAACTTGGCAGCTCATTATACTTGGAATCAGGAGTCATTGATATACTTGGGAAATTAGGAGTTCAAATACCGTCTCAGATGTTTACTATGTGTCTCTTGGCATGCCAGCTAATCCCTCTCAGCCTCAGTGTCCCCATATGTAAAAGGAGGATGATAATGATAGCATTTCCTTCCCAGGGTTGCTATGAGGATTAAACAATATAACATATGTAAATCATTTTGCAAACCTTAAGGGGATATATACTTGCTAGCCATTATTGTTTCATTATTATTATCATCCACTAAGTGATAAAGAGATTGGGATTTGCATCCAGATGGGTGGAGAGTAGCCATACCAACAATCTCACAGATCCCTGAAGTATACAACTGTATTTGCACTTTACAGTTGCAAAACACTTTACTATTTCACTATTTTCATTCTATCTTCACATAAACCTTTTGAGACAGGTAATATGATAGTGTTATCTTTCTATTGTCCAAGTAGTACAGTCTCAGAGAAGTTAAGTGACTTACTTGAAATCATGTAACAAGTACTCATCTCCAGTCCATTGAGATCTTTTGACTCCAAGCCCAATGCTCTTTCTACAACCTCTAGTCAAGAACAAAGGTGGGAACCTGGAGGTTGAGGAGGAAGGGCTTTGAATTTTCACTGCAAAAAGATTATGGCTACAGGAAGAAATATTGAGGCATAATGTTGGAAAATCCAGGCCTGGGGCTTGGCTAGTGACAGAGCCAAAAGATGAATTAGGTCTGCCAGGTCATAGACATTTTAAAGGCAAGAAAGCAGAAGAGAAAAAGGAGGGGGGAAAAAAAGCATTTTGTTTCCCACAGTGCTCTCACCTAATGGTCTAGAAGTTAATTCTTAGGCTTTGAGTTTGGGAGAAAGACAGCAGGACATAAAACCTATTATGATGCTGTATATTAAACACGATGATAATAGCTCAGATTTTTATATGGTGCTCTACAGTTTAGAAACTGCTTTTCTTTGATCACCCTGTGAGGTGACAGTGTTAACTTTCCTGTTTTTTTTAATAGACAAAGACATTAAGGTTCAGGGAGCTGGGTGTTGCACCTGTGCTCGAGGAAGTTACAGAAACAGGACTAGAATCAAAGTTTTCTGATTCCAAATTCAGCCCTCCATCCATCAGACCAGGCTGCCTGGAAAATGGTTTATTAGATGGATGTGAGTCATGGCATCCACACCACATCTCCTTACTGTACATATCTCTATTGTACCTTTATTTAACAGTATGATTTTTCTTCTCCATTAATGATAACTGATACTTACATCAGGATTTAAATTTTGCAAAACATTTTATATGAATTACTTCACTGATCCTGGCAACAACCCTGTGAGGTAGGCATTATACCCATTTTACAGGTAAGGATACTAAGGCTGACAGGCAACATGACTTACCCATACTTACACAGCTAGCAAGTGTCAGAAACAGGATTTAAACCCAAGTCTTCCCAACTCCCAGAGATAGTACACTAACCACAAAGCTACTGTGATTGTGTGGGATTCTCAAAAATGACCTCCAAACTCCATGCATGAAAGTAGGTGTCGATAAGAATTCATCAAACCCGTCAATGACAGTGACCTTTATTGTCTGATATAAAGGGTTGAGAAGAATAAAGGCAGAGAAAAGGGTATTGGGTCTGACATTTGGGATGCCAGGAGACCATTTCCATAGAGTGATGGGGATGTAAGCCACATGACAAGGGCAGATATGATCATATCTACTATAAGCAAAGCAATATTCTAGGCACTTTGTAAAGTTGTAAAAAGTATAGAAGACACAGCCTCTGCCTCTTAATCAGGGGTGGGAATGAGGGGACAGCTATGTCTTCTATGTCTTTTACTTTCATGAGAAAATCAGGGCAGGCTCAAGGGTCATCCAAAAGGATTGCAGAAACTTTACCAATTATTACTAATTATAGCCAATTAAACTAGAATAGCTAGAATCAGGTGAAGTTAGTGTGGGAAGTCTTCTTTTATTTATTTATTGGCTAAGCAGTGGGGTTAAGTGACTTGCCTGGGATCACACAGCTAGTAAGTGTTATGTGTCTGAGGCCAGATTTGAACTCAGTTCCTCCTGAATCCAGGGCCGGTGCTCTATCTACTGTGCCACCTAGCTGCCCCGGGAAGTTTCCTTAGAGGGATATTTGGAACAGAATTTTACAGGAGAAGAGAAAAATGGTGTAATGACAAAGGCAGATGTCTATTTCTTACCGTCCTGATTTGGACTGGAGATGTTTATCTACTTGTAATCTTTGAATCCATATTAATATTTCTTTGGTCATGTTGTTATTGTTCAGTTATTTTTCAGTAGTGTCTGATTCTTTGTGACCCCATTTGTAGTTTTCTTGGCAAAAATACTGGAGTGGTTTTGCCATTTCTTTCTCTAGCTCATTTTACAGATGAGGAAACGGAGGTACATAGGGTGAAGTGACTTGCCAGGGTCACGCAACTAGTAAGTGTCTTGAAGCCAGAATTGAACTTCGGAAGATGAATCTTCCTGACTCCAGGCCCAGCACTCTATTCACTATACCACCTAGCTGCCCTCTGGGCATGTTACTTCATGCGAATGGTTCCTACCATATAGCTATTTCTGTACCCTTGCACATCTGCCTTTCTGTTCATTTCCTTGTCTTCTCTCTTCATGTTTTTAGGTTTCTCATATTCCTTTCTAAGCAATTCAGAGTTTAGTCATGACCAGTCAAAGATATTTTGACTTTTTCTTCTAATTACAGCTTCCCTTACAATTTACCTGCGGAAAAATCATGGCTTTTACCCAATAGGATTCAAATGACGACCCCTCAAGTACAAGAAGGTTATATAGGTCACTTACCTCACTTGTGGGTTACCCTTCTGCCTGCTACTTGACCAGTTTCCATATTTAAACTTATCATCCTGAGCTCTAGGGTAGCCTAGGGGTATGTTTGGATATTTCCTCATTCATTGATAAAATTTTAACATATCTCTCCATCAACTAAGCTCAAAGCCTCTACCCAAATCCATCAAATGTTATTTATTTAATAAACTGAAAAACGTCCTTTCCCACAAGTAGTTTTATCTCTCTGCATTTTAAATCCCTTAATCTCCTAGGATTAAATAAATATGAAAATTACTGAATATACAATTAACAATTAAATAAATAATAACACAAAGCTATAGATAATTGTTTTGGATATGAAAATGATCATAGCCAGAATGACCTCAGACCCTCACTAGTATTCACAAAAGACTTTACTTCAGGGGCAGCTAGGTGGCACAGTGGATAGGGCACCAGTTTTAGAGTCAGGAGGACCTGAGATCAAATCTGACCTCAGACACTTGACACTAGCTGTGTGACCCTAGGCAAGTAAGTCACCTAACCCCAACTGCCTCACCAAAAAAAAAAAAAAAGACTTCACTTCTGAAAATATAATCCCACACCATTCAGTTTATTCAGAATAACAAGGTCTCTTTGTGAGAATCTTCTTCATGATAAAGGTCAGAAAGAAAGGTCATCCCTCCATCTTCTTTTTCTCTGTCTTCTCCAACTTTTCTCCAGCCAT